GATTCCACGAGGGGAAATGGTAATCCACACAAGAATATTTTTTTTCAAATTTATTTTTGCGCTTATATTTTACATTTTTTGGTGCATTTTTTGCTTCATCTGAATAAAATCCAGCATTAGAATTTTTATTCATATGTTTAAATGTAAAATAAGACTCATCATCAATGACAAAGTCATGGTTTCTGAATTTGCGACAAATTCAGAAACTGTGACACTTCACACTTCCACATTTCAGTAGCAACTGCTTTAACTGTTTATCAGTGCAATAAGGAATTTATTTTTTCTTAAAATAACAAATGTTTGTTTTGTTTTTTAATGTTTTTACAATGTAGGAATGATCACTCTTAAATTTATTAGCAATTTTTCTCATTGTTTTCCACTTTGCCATATAGCATTTGATGGTTCTTTCGGGGTGATTAGAGGCAACAAAAGACTCTACGATGCTCTTTGTTTTAGCGTTGCAAATTACAATGGTTGTACACTTGTTCAATTCATGTAGTTGGCTTCATTTTTTGATAACTTTATTAATTAATCTAAGTAAACAAAATTTTTAGTAAAAGATAACTAACACTTTATAAACAAAACTACTAAAAAAGTAACACTGGATACCTAAAAATTCAATAAGTTTTAGTTTCTCAAAGATAGTGCCAAATTTTTGTCACCAGGGGTTATTTTAATAAAAGTTTTAAAAGCATATCTAACTTATGTCACCATGAAAAAAACCATAAGCCATCTGCAAAATGGTATTCTTTTTCCTACATCACATGGAAAGATGATGTATGGCTTATGATGGCATTTGGGGCTCTGTCTAAAGTCTTGTAGCAAGAGCCATTTTACAATCACTAACAGATCCTATAAATGTATGATTAGTATACACAAAATATCAAAGGAATAAATTTTCAATAAATTTCAAATGATGCAATTGTACTACATTGCATTAAGTTTAAATTAGAAGAACGTTATACAACTTGTTTGACAATTTTAGGAACAAGAAACCACCATTGTTTTATACCACAATCATTAACTACTTTACAGATAAGACAGGTGTCATTTGACAATATGCATTTTCATGTAAATGTTTCGAAAATATAGCATAGATTTTTTTTTTACCAGGAATTAACACATTTTGCAATTTCCCCATAAGTACCCAATTTTTTTTTTCCATAATCACTGTAATAAAATCTATTACATCAACAGAAAAAAAAATCTTACCAAAATCAGTGCTGATCCTAGGTTACCGGTGGATGAAAGTGAAGGCACAACTTCTTAAACTTTAGCCGGAGCAATTTTTAGGAGTCCATAACTTTTTACTGAATTGTATCTTATCAGTAAATTTGGAAGCCTACCATTTATAAACAAAAAAATTGTCTTTTCATTGCAGACTTTGACCCATCAAAAATCAGCTTTTTATATTTACAAACGATTCTTTAGCTTTTTTAGGTAGCCAATATTGATAAAATATGACAATTCAATGTCAAGGTTTTAATAAAGTAAGTCTAGAGTTGTATACAATAAATAAACTAAAAAGTCTTATATAAAGTTATTGTAGTCATTGTGATATATATATATATATATATATATATATATATATATATATATATATATATATATATATATATATATATATATATATATATATATATATATATATATATATATATGGGCAAGTCCACGAGGAAAAGAAAAAACCAAAAAAGTTATGAAAACACATAGTAAACTATTTTTTTAAACTATTTTAAAATACTTTTAAGCAAAAAAGTTATTTAAAAAAATCACTTCATCATACCATAGCATAGTTTTAAAGTTCTAAGGGTCGTATAAATGTGTTTTGACGCTTATATACAGTCCTATTGTGCAGTGTTGAAAATTGTACCGTATATCCATAATTAAAAATGTTTTATTGCATTTTTTTAACATATTATATATGGTTGTTAACCTGTTAACAGTCCATGCCGTAATATTACGCAAATAAAAAGTGGATCCTACATGTCCATGCCGTAATATTATGGTTTCATGCATCTGTTTATATTTTCTTCTTGTTCATCAATAATTATACGTCTACTTGTCACAAAATTTATTACTACCTAATTAAAAAGCTTTTGTTTCAATAATTTACTTTTACACGTGTTTACTTAAATTTTAAATATGATAAATAAGGAAGTTCTTTCAGTGCAAAAATAATTACCAAAATGTAAATACTTACTCACTAAAGTATAGAAAATTATACATTTGATGAATCAATCATGAAAAGATATATTTGATGAATGATTATTAAAAATGTTAATATAAGATTAATGCTCAAAGAAGGTGTGTGGTATGTTACAAACACATAAATCAAAAAGGTTCAAGATATGAATATTTAGAATAGAAAATACTCTCATACAAAAAGTTAATATTCTCATACAAAAAGTGAATATTAGTGAATACATTTATACAATTTTTTGTTTATGTAGTGAGATTTATATATTCTTAAACTTGAATAGTGACGCTTTGTAGTGTTTAATAAAGTTAAAAACAGGAAAAAAAACTGTTTTTATTTTGTTTGTAAACAAACATGATAATTTAAAAAACACTGGAAATTTAGCAACCACTTTTAAAAAAAGAAGCTGGACTTATAGCTACCGTATTTTTAAAAATACACGGGACTGTTAAAGGGTTAATGATTACTTATACTTTTTTTCTTAAATCATTGATTGTGTTGTTATATTTGTTGTTTTTAAGCATTGGATTTGTTACGACCGTCATGACAAAAAATACACAAAAAAGCTTGTAAAGCTTTAAGTAAAAACTACGAAACTCAGCATATAATAACATCAATATGTGCTAAATACACACACCAAAAGATTTTTTTTAACCATGCTATTCGCTGCATTAAGTCTGACAAAGTTGTTAAGTTCAGAAGTGGTAAAAAGTAGGCATTACAACCGCCACGCTTCTTAGAGTTAACTTTTGAAAAAAGTTGAAGACTTTAATGCTGTAATTTTTACATACTAAATTATATGATAGTATTTCACATTTCTGGAAAGTTTCAAGTCATTTCCGTTTTCGGTTCATTTTTAATAACTTAAAAAGGGTCAAATGTTATGACCGCCTCTCAAATGACGCTTGGGGAATTAACCATATATATATATATATATCACAATGAGAACAAATCTTATAAATCTTATAAACTTTTTTTTTTTTCGCTACCAAAGTTTTTACTTTTTAGAAAAATCAGAAAATTTAAATTCAAAACCATATCTTATGAACCACAAAAGATTTTATGCTAAAATTTTTTTGGAATTGCTTTTCTCATTGATATTACCCAACTTACCAAGTTTCATCCCTTTACTGTGGCCAATCTTAATTGCTCCAAAAATTCTTATTCATCTAGTTTTTTTCTTGATTATCAGGTCTTTGAAATTTGCTACTTTCATCTTGTTTTTCTGATTCATATAATTTGGAATCTTTTAAGTCATCTGTTAATCATTATCTTGGTTTATAAACTTCATCTTTTCTCTTCCAACCTCTATAGTGGTTACTTACATCCTTGTTGAAAGTAAAGATGTTTAAAATAAAAAGGAACAAAATAAAAAAACAAATATATTACAAATCTAAACTCATATGAAACTGAGTTATACATAAAACAAACATTCTAAACTCATATATTCCAATATTCGATATTATATCAAAACTATATATTCTAAACTCATACGAAACTGAATTATACATAAAACAAATATACTATATATTCTTAACTAATATGAAACTAAATTAAGACACTAATTATATTGATTCAGGGTAAAAATTATTTGACAGTTTCATTATTTTTCATGTTTATTCTATTTCCAATGCTCATTTAGTGAATGTTAATTATCATATTATTTAAAAAATTGATTCTTTTACAAGCTTTTGAATGCATAATTATAAATTTAAAACAAATGGTTGCTATTAGTACACAAAAGTAACAAAAATTTGGAAGTAGGTACAACAAGTAAGACCCATAAACACTAGTACACTTGTGTTTTCTTACGGAATCTCATATGAAAATGTTAGAACTCATCTGAATTAATCTGTATGAAATTCTTCATGATCTTTAACATGTTTATTAAAATATAAATTTAAACCAACTTTATACTTTTCAAATTTAAGTAAGATATTATATATTATAATTTAAGTAATTTATATGTCTTTCTGTTAAAAGACTTGTACGAACTTATTGTACAAAACTTATTTTTCCTCTTAATGAGAAATAATTTATTATTCTAATATTTATTTTTTGGATTTTTTGGATTTTGATTAAAAATTTTTTCCTTCTTCTTCTTAAAAAAAGCTTCCCAGCTTCACTCATCATTGGATTTGTTAAACTTCCTATTTTTATTGTGTCATTAACTTTTTTTTTGAAAAATACAAAAAATATAAACTTTAAATATTCACGTAATTAATTAAATGAATATTCTATATTAAGTCTATATTTTTTAAATATTAAATAATTGGGTAATTAATTTAAAATTTAAGCTTTATGAATATTTACAAATATTTATTAATTTTGCAAATTTTTAACTTTTAACTTTATTGGAATGAAAAGTTACTAAACTTCAAAATAACTGTCACTGAGGCTGTATGTTACTAAGGGTTGAGTAGAATACTTCTGTTGGATATATCAAGCATGAATAAAAATTAGGGTAATAAGAATTATACTTTGAAGAATTAAAAAACATAAAGACATTTAGAAGAAAGTACAGATATTTGTATTGAGTATATAAGTTTGAAGCAAATGAAGAAAAAAAGTATAAAAAAAATAAACAAAAACACAATTTTTACAAAGTTAACAAATAAAAATGTATACAGTAAATAAAACTAGACAGTGAAAGAATAGAAAAGTACAGTGACAAAAAAAGTACACAGTAAATAAATAAAAAACAAATTTTAATCAACAGCATGTTTGTAAAAATGAGATAATAAAAAATATGAAGACATTTTTTAAAAGTAATTTCAATTTCAAATTAAAACTAAAATACCGCTGTTTCACCATGTTCACCAGCAATATTTAGATCACGGTTATTTAAAACACAATCATGCAAATCTCGTAACATATCTTCTCTAACCACATTTCTTATATCTTCAAGTTCTTCTTCTGTATATACTAAATCAAGATAATTATTATTGAATTACTTATGAAATTTCTTTCTTTTTTATTTCTTAAGTTTTTATTACATATATGTACATATATATGCATACATTAAGGTACACATAATGTAATAGGGTGATTCTTGTGCTGCATATGTGAATCTTGTACAAATTATTTTCAATATAAGGGACTATAATAAATAGTTTACCATATGCAAGATATATATTGCAATTACTATAGTAGGAGATGTATTGTACCGATTAGTTGCGTTAAATGAGTGACGCGTACAAAACTATAATTTGAATTTTAAACTTTGATTTAAATTTTCTGCTAATTGGCTGTGATTAGAATAATATATTTTTGTTACAGACAACATGTTGATGTTAAAAAAAAATATTTTTATTTGTTATAACTTCGTTATGTGTGTGACACATGTATGAACTTTTAACAATTTAATAAACTTCTTGGGCCACTGCTGCCATATGACCTGCTCTACTGAATTCATACTTTTAGGGAATTTTTTTACTTTGTTTTTAGATTAAAGACAGTTGCCAAGCCAACAAAACCAACTAAGTGACTGTGACTAACAAAGGTTATCTAACCTAAGCTATTATAGCTGATGCATAATGCTTTAAGTAATAAGCAAAAATTATCATTCAGTTTGCACTTACACTGGTCTGCAGGTGTTTTTTCTAAAAGAAGTATAATTTTAGGCCTAAGATTTTCAAAGGTAGAGAAAAGCATTACCTTTCCGTAGGCCAATTGAAAAATATAGTGAGGCTCTCTCAAAAACAAAGTCAAAAAGTATTTTCTCAGTTTCTTTTTCTTTCCATTTTCCTACACAGTTATTTAATGTTTAAAACTGGGAATTGTGAAGGCAATGTCTGTTCTGTAAAAAAATTAGTTACTAACTTATTATTTTCGTTAATATCACTTGATAACTTCTTTTCTTTTTCAATTTTATTTTTAAAAATAGGAAAAACTTTCAAACATTGTACAACAATTTTATGTTTAGTTAGAGATTTTGACTCTCACTGATTTTGATAAAACTTTTACAAACACCTGACTGTAAAGTGGTTTGGTATTGGTAAAGACTGCAATTATATAAACTTAAAGTTATTTTATTTAATTTTTATAATTTTCTTTAATAATTTCTTTTAAATAATTGTTCTTTAATTTTTTATCTACTTCTTTGTTTTCGTATTCTGTTTTTTTTCTTTATATGAACCCTTTTCTGTGCTGTTCATTTATCCAACTTTCAATTTTCTCAGATTCTCAATTCTTTTATTTCCTATAGTACAATATGGTGCAGATGTTTGTGGGCTTCTCTTATATTATTATCTATCTATTATATTTACTACCTATTTTATTAGATATTAGGCTGTTTTAATACTGGTTTTGCTTGATTGTTAAACTGTGATATAACCTTTAGCAAACGAATATCTACTAAAAAAGGAGAGTTATTGCATATTAAATAAATTTATATTTTATATAAATTTTGAATACTGTTCTAATTATTTTCAATCATCCAAAACAAAAAAAAGTTATTTATATAGAATATATATATATATATATATATATATATATATATATATATATATATATATATATATATATATATATATATATATATATTTAAAGTTATGAAAATAAAATAGTTTTATATAGGGATGTACCAAAAATTCGACGAGGGATCAACGGTAAATGACCATTCAAAAAAAAAAAGTGCTAATTTGACCTCAAAAAAAGAATTCTTGCCAGTCAAGGTTAACCATTATAAAAAAAACATAATTTTATATATTACATTTCATAAGATTTTATGAAATATAATGTAATTATTAAATATGTGTTGTTAAAAGTTATGTGATAATATGGAAATTAGGGTTTTATGAAATATAAAAATAAATTATATGAAAAATAAGACTGTAAAATAACTAGGTATATTTTGAAAGTACATATTTAAAAATTTCGTTAGGAACCAAATGCAGGTAGATGTATTGTTTGTTAACGATTAGTAATATGACACCCAAGATAGCAAACTTTAGCTGGATAAGTATGATAGTTTCAGCTTTGGGAGAAGTTTCGGCTTTGGCAGAAAGTTCAGCTTTGGCAAATTCTAGGCTTCGGTACATCCCTAGTTTTACAATAAAATTACTTTTAACAAACTTTAAATGTTTCGGTGGGTGTTGCGCAAACCATTATTTAACAGGAGTTTGGATATCAGTACCCATTTTTACTGTTTTTTATTTTTAATTAGAAAATCTCAACCAAAAATTTAGTGAATGCTATACAATATTTTAACCAAGTAGTTAAACATAATTAACTCCATTTAGATACAAACATTTATATTTCAAAGAAATTTTAAGTATTTTATTTGTTAAATTCTTGATTTTACTTAACTTGAAAAGTTACTTAGTATTATAACAAACATTTAATATATACCAGGGGCTATTGTAGAAAAATAATTGGGCAGTGGTACCCCCATACCAGCGTCTATCCATAAGGAAATTTGCCGTATGTAGGCATTTTTGAAGGAAAAAAACAATGTTTGCTATAAAAATAAAATAAAAAAAGGTCCTGAAAATTCTGATTTTGGGCAGCACCCAAATACACTCTCAAAAACAGTCTAGAATAGCCCTTGCTTACTTATATATTTAATAACATCTATATAAAATTTTTTATGTGTGGTTCTTTATTTTCTAGTTTAACTGTATGCATATAAAATATTTGTTTATTATATTATTTACATTTGCTATGATAAAATTTCATAGCATATGTAAATAATATAATATAATAAGATATATTTTTAGAGTAACCCACTTGAAATGTGTTAATTAATTGCAATTGGTATAAAAGATTTATAAAATGGTCTTTTTTTATATATGCTTAGATTGTTGATAGCTCAGTCGGTAAGTGTCAAACTCCTAACATTTCTATGGGTTCAAATTGATCCCTTATGTTAAATATGTTTTTCAGTTTTTTCAATCTTACAGCTATTTTCAATACAAACCATAACAGTTTAAGCAAAAAAGTTTTTTTTAAAGATTTCTTATATTATACATATATTATATTACACACGATCGTTCAATATACCACCTGCAAAATCAATTTATGCAAAAGACATACACTTACAGACATTTGTAGAAATGAAATTTTAACATGCGTGAAATTTGTGCAATTATGTCAAAATGCATGAGTGGGTACTAACATATATAAATATAGATTTGCCACCATATCATACAAATTTTAAAAAGCCAATTCTACAAATAGCTGCATTGAATTGTTCCTTTTACTACAAATAACATTTTTTGTTATGAAAGTATTTATATAGCACCTATCTAAGTACTGCTACATTTTATTTTTAATCTGAACATGAAATCTAAACCAAACACAAAACTTCCATTACATATGTTTTGTTTTTCAATTTATCTTTTTTTTATATAGGCATATAAAACTTTTGAATCTCAGGTTTATGCAAAAACTTTTTTTGTAAGTAATTTTATTCTTCTGTTTTGAAATAATTTAGAGTAAACCTCATTATCATGTTTTTTAGAGCTCAGTATGTTTTATTTTAAAACAAAATCTGGACCTAGATCTTAAGAATGCAGAAGAAAATATTGTTTGGTTTATAGCTTTTAAACATGGAATGAAAAAAATGTAATTCAAGATAAATACTAACCAACTGTTTTTCATTAAAAATCTATTCTAGTCTTCACACTTGATAACTTTAATAATTTTACTCTATTTACGAACAGAGTAAACTTACCTATAGCTTATTTGAAAGAGTGCTTAAATTGAATAGTACTAAATTGGGTTTCATATAGCATAATAAACCTTTTTTAACTATTTCAAGAAACATGCATCCATTATGGTTACCTACCAAAAAATATCTCAAATTATCAAAATATAAAATTCCTTTTTAAACAAAATTAACTACAACCAAAAAAATGAAGAATCTTTGTCTTATTTTGAACTACTTTTTTGGAAAAAATATCCAACTCAATTAAAAAAAGATTAAATATAATAAAAAATTTATAGAGGAAGTGATGTAGAAAATTATAGAGGAAGTGATGTTGAAATTTATAGAGGAAGTGATGTTAGAAATTTATAGAAGTTAGGAATATTAGGAATAAACAACAAGGTTTTGGACTGGGCAGGTAGTATCAGCATATTTTTATTGTTTATATAGTCTTTTACGACATTCCTATAACTAGTGCTATCACACGTTTAATATCATTCAATTCAAAATAACTATCGATTAAAATTTTATTCAGATTTTTAATCCTTCAATTTAAAAACCAACTTTCCTTTTTCCTTAAAACTACAACAATAACAATAAAAAGAAAATTATATAATGAGTACATACAAGCTCCCATTTTTCCATCCAAATATATTTCAATTTCTTCATTATCTTCCACCAAATCAATTGGCATATTTCCATCAGTATTTATTTCCACCATACTGGCACCATTTTCACACAAATACTTACAAAGTTCAAAATTTCCACACGCTACTGCTGCATGTAGTGGAGTCCAAAGATCAGCATCTTTAATATTAAGATCAGCACCATTCTTAACCAAAACATCTACAACATCAACACAATCTTCAATGACAGCCTTTAACAAATATCGAAATTTATATATATATATATATATTTTTGGTCTAAAATATATAAAAATATGAAGCATAAACATAATGCATATATATATATATATATATATATATATATATATATATATATATATATATATATATATATATATATATATATATACACGGCCTGTTCTAGGAAAAAAATTTGGGTGGCGGTAGCCCTCCTGTTTCAGCGGACTTTAGCAGAAAATCTGCATTTCTTTCGCTTAATTTGCTGTAAAAACATAAAAAAAAATTAAAAAAAAAAAAAAAAAGAAAGAAAAGGTCAAAATACAACCAAATACGGTCGACGCTGTTGAAAACGGTCTAGAATAGCCCCTTATATATATATATATATATATATATATATATATATATATATATATATATATATATATATATATATATATATATATATATATATATATATATATATAACACATTTATATATACATTAGGCAACCTTTATAAATACATTAGTCAGACTTTTATATAAATATTAGTTAACTGAAATCCATATGGTTTTTTTTTTTTTTGAAAAGAAAATAATAAAGAACAATAAAAAAAATGATTGGTGCTCTAACTCGAACCCTAAGGGGTTGTCCATAAATTACACTTAATTTTTCACAGTTTGTAACCTGTCCCCCCTCCCCAGCTTCCAGTAACAAATTGTCAGACTTTACAGCTCCTTGCTCCCCCCCCCCCACACACACACACTTAAAATATGCAACAAATTTGTAACCCCATGAACAATGTACATACATTGACTGCCTTAAATAGGGATTGGCGCAGAGGAGTGCACATATACCTACTAAGGGTTTAGGTTTGGCTAGGTATTTAACTAAAATAAAAGAATTATGATATTTATTAAAATAGGGTTTAATTATGGTGTTTATAAATTAGTAATTTATATAAAACAAGTGTGCATGCGTCAACTGAAGCTTTATGTTTTGGCTAGGCACTCTTTTAATTAAAAAAAGGTTTTTCTAGATTAAAAACTAAAAGAAAAAAAATATTGCGTTGCAAAATTGAACAACTTTCCCCCTGTAACAAATTGAAACAAACTCGCTAACAAATCCCCCCCTCCCCCTATTGCATGACATAATTTGTGGACAACCTTGTAGTTGATATAACGGTACTCCCTCGCATGTTCTACAAATAGTTAATCAGTGTACGTATGAATGCAGAATTCAATAAATGTAGCTGTGTATAAACTTTTTGAAAAAATATATATTTGTTTTTATTTTAATTTATATTAATTTAATATATATACATTAATATATACATTTTTTTATATAAAGTAACATCTTACGATTGTTTAAAAAGGAAACGAATGTTCTTTATTTATCAAAGTTTGCAAATGTTAGTTTTATCTAAGCTAAATTATTTTATTAAAAAAAAAGTTAATTTTTTAATACCTATTTTATGTTTGGCGTAGTTTGAAAAGTTTAACATATTTGAAACAATTCTTCTTAGTAAGATAAACAAATGAAATAATTAAATCATTGAATTACTATAGAAATTAAATTAAGTAGATAGAAATCAACTTAATAGGTTAAAAATACTTTTTGACGAGGAACAAAACTGCTTCACAATATGGCTGATGATATTTAGTGAGTGGGCTTTTAAATTCTAATTAGTATTTAAAGCAGAAAAAAGTAAAATGAGTTTTTAAGAATGGCAACTTAGGCGAAAATAATTAGAGTCAGCAAACCAATATCTAGAAACTTTTCTTTATATCTAATAGCTTGCTATATATATTTGTGTTCTGTCGTGACCTCATGCACAGTGCTTGTACATCCACGAGTTACTTTGTATGCATTAGTTGTGTTTAGTAACCAGAAACTTCTTATATGTTTGTTACATAGTTTTATTAACTTTAATGATTATTAATAACTTCATTAACAAGGCAATTATTTTTGTAAGTCTTAGTTTACTAATTAAATTGATAAAAAAACAGATACACAAAATTACATTTACATAAAAAATACATACTTTTTAAATAAAAAAAAAGAATATACTAATAAAATCTATAATTTATAATAACCTTTTAAAACTTTGACAACTTAAATAATATATATTTAAAACAAATATAAATATAAATAATATAAATTTAAAACATTTTTGTAAACAAATAATAATAGTTTATAAGATTTACAGCTTTGCAGAATGCTCCGAAAATGAGCCATGATGATGAATGCTCCGAGAATGAGCCATGATGATGAATGCTCCGAGAATGAGCCATGATGATGAATGCTCCGAGAATGAGCCATGATGATGAATGCTCCGAGAATGAGCCATGATGATGAATGCTCCGAGAATGAGCCATAGTATCATAATAATACATAAATAATACATAAATTGTTTTAAGACTATATTAGTCTTAAGTCTAAGACTATATTAGTCTTAAAACAATTAATGCTAGAAATCTCAAAACGTAACAAATTGTGAATACTACAATTTCTGAAAAATTTTAACAGAATACTCTAGAACTTTATTTTGCTTAGTCAGCGTATTTTATGAACCAATAGAATTAGTTTATTCGTTAATTTGGCGGGTTTTTAGTGTTCGCAAATATTCTTTTTATTCTTATGCACCAAGATATTTTGAGAACATTCAAGTTTTTAATGTTTTCATGTATGTCCGTAAAACAAAATTTTTTTGTTTCGTACATAAACTTAAATGCTCTCAAAACGACTAAAAAACCTGGCCAGTTTTTTGCAACTAAATATAATTTCTGTGGTCAGTATTTGAGAGTGATCGCTCCCGCTTCCCGACCAAGCCTGATTGTGACCAGCATCATCACAGGTTTTGTTAAGAAGCGTTATTCCATTCGAATTTTATATACAAAATGATGATTTCATATATGCATTAAGCCATTTATCTTACACCAAAACTTTTGTCAATAAGATTTTTTAAACAATCTTTAAAAATAGTTCATGCAGAAAACATTAAGCAGTAATTGCTGTAAAAAAACATTTTCACCTCATTTTTTATCTTTTTAGTTAAAAAAAAACAAGTAGTTAAATAATTTTTATCCAACTTTCGGTTTTAATTAAAATTTATTTTATTATATTTAAATTAAATTTATTATTAAATAATAATAAATTCAAATTTATTTTAATTAAATTTATTATCAAATATTAATAAATTTAAATTTATTCATTTATACTTTAATTATTATTAAATATTATTATTATATTAGAAAAGAATATTTTTTTTAATAAATTTAAAATTGTAAAAGAATTAATTATAATTAATTGTAAAAGAATTAAAATTATAAAAGAATATTCTTTTTAATAAATTTAATTCAAGTTGTTTAAAATGCACATTCAATTGTTTAGTTTATTTATAGTTTCAATAATTTTTTTTTCATTATTTGTATTATAAAAGTGATAAATGTATATCTATAAAATAGATTTTATTTTATTATTTTTTTTCTATGGCAAATATTATTATTTTGCAAAAATAATAATATTTGCCATAGAAAATGTAAAAAAAAAAAGGTCCTCAAATTTTAATTTGGGCAGCGCTGAAAACGGTCTAGAATAACCCCCTGTATATATATATATATATATATATATATATATATATATATATATATATATATATATATATATATATATATATATATATATATATATATATATATCCGACTTTAATCACACTAGTGACTCAACTCAACTTGGGTTTTGCCCTGAGACTTGATACTTGACTGGAGACTTGCTAATTTCGGCTAAGCGACTTTAAATTTATTATTTTCTGTCTCTTTAAAAATGGTGCAATTTATTTTATATTATAATTCAACTGTTTTACTATTTTTTATTTTTGAATGTTTTTGTTTTTTTATTTGTTTTTTGAATTTTTTATTTTTGAATGTTTTTGAGTGTTTTTCTGTTAACTTATCTTTAACTGGTTTGTAGTCTAAGCGAGATTTGAAGAAAAATATTGCATTTAGGCTCTTTCGTTTTCAAAAAATTCCAACTTTTTTGTATGCGTTCTGATTAATTCATTTTTTTTTTCAACTCATGAAACTAATTGCTTATAAATGTTCCGTAATTTTAATTTCTTATTTAAATTTTTTTTTAACTCTTTCTTTTTCTTTTCTTAACAATCTTTATTTTTCTTTTATTTAGTTTTACTTTTAAAATTATCTTTAATTATCATTTATCATGTAATTTATTTATAAAACTTATTATAAAAAAGCGTCCGCCATTCCGGAAGCCTTTTCACTGCTGTTCTAATTTTAAGTATTTAAAATTGTGCTTGCTACTAATTTTGGCAATTTGTTTCATATGTTATCTTAAAACTGTGCTTATCTTAAAAAAGTGCTTTAAAAATTCAACAAACGCCTGCAGTGCCTGGAATAGTTAATTTTGGTTATACTGAGTTAGAGAAAAAAAAAAGAAAAAACTAGATCAGTACGATGTAAATTTTGTCAAGCTTCAATTACCGATGGAGTTGTGACTACAAGCAACTTCATTCGCCATTTAAAAACACATTCAGGAAAATATGCATTATATCAAAAGTTTATTTAGACAAGACCAACGGCTGCTACACCAGACCAATCTAAGATTTTAGACTTTCGAGCAGGTTATTTACTTATACTAATTTGTTTTTATTTTATTAGATATTTAAAATATATTAAATCCTCGAGTCCATTATATGTCCGCGGTAATCTTCTACCTCTAGTAGACTAGTAGTATACTAGAGGTCTGACATTTCATAACAATTTAGCTGTAAAAACCTATTTAGAGAAAACGTATACGGATGCAAAGGAAAAACTAACTGAAAATCTATGTCAAGCTGCAAGCATTTCCCTAACACTTGATATTTAGTCAGATAAAAAAAATAAGGGGTTACCTTGGTGTAACAGCGCATTACATACATAACTATCACTGTCACACACGACTGTTGGCATGCGATAGGTTCATAGGTGCTCATACTGGAGATAACATAGCAGAACATTTTGAATCCATTTATA